CCACGTGGTGTCCTCTGGGTTACGCTAAATGGTTCTATTAAAATATTTTAAGGGGAATTTACATTAGTGTAATACAGTAGCAAAAGGTTTTTAGGGGAGTTTACGTGAGTGTAATACGGTAGCAAAATGTTTTTAGGGGAATTTACGAAATTTTAGGGGAGTTTATAATATTATTAATAATATTCCAACCAACAAGTTTCACCATAGGTCGATTTACTCTAATTTTTAAACTAACAGAGTTAAGTGTAAATTGTCCATGTAACGCACTTGTAAAACAGAAACAACAAATGTCTATAGTAACATCCTCTGAAATTTATAATTAATACTCAATTACAGAATATTTTTTACATTAATTTTAAGAGATTTTTTTTCATTTTTTTTTTTTTTACATTGTATAATATTCATTTATAGTTTAATTATTTTCAAATAATATGTAGTTTTAATTTAATGTATAAAATATATACATTTTTTAGGGCAAATGTCAAACTTACAGATTTGCCAGAAAACTTACCGCAGTTAAAACAAAATGTTGATGAAAATACACCTTGGTTAAAAGGTTGTGCTCAAACTGTTGCATTAACATGGGGCACCACACTTGAGTCTGAACATTTTGATTTTCTATTAATGGCAGATTGTATTTATTATCCAGAAGTATAATATTCAAATCGATTTTTTATTGCTAGTTCCGTAATTCATTATTCTATTTTTTAAAGGTAGTGGAGGCATTGGTGAAAACAATAACTGAGTTGACTACACCAAAAACAGTTGTATTGATATGTCAAGAACTTAGAGAAACCGAAAAACAAAAGAACACCTGGAAAATGTTTTTAAACTTATTGCTTGAACACTTTGAGGTATCATACGTTCCAGAAGAAGAACAACATCCAGTTTTTAGAAGTTCTGATATAATAATAATAAATGCCAAAAAAAAAAAGTGTTTGTGAAATAAAAATTTAATGTAATCAAAATCTATGAATATTTTGTCCAGTGAGAGAGCCCAACTAGTTGGCAACAAAAACACACTATATTCCTCACACTACCAGTATTATTGGCAACTGCATGGTAGAAAAAATTAGATCTCATACTGTCATTTGGATACAACAGTCGCAGAGTAGCACCTCTTTCTAAATTGAGTATAGTTTTAACATTTATGAGCTTAACTCATATATATATTATTATATATCTCAAATATTTCTATAGTTTAAGCACATACAGCTGATTTCCATGATGTAGTTTTTCTCAGTTTAACAAAATAGAATTATTTTATATTTGTAACACAATTTTCACCATAATGTCACCTAAAATGTGAATAGGTATGAAAGTACGAAACAGTATGTCCTTATTAGCAAAATGCATTATTAAAAATTAAATTTTAATTACTTTATTTTACTTCAAAATATGTAATAGATCATGATCTATTCATATCATATCTATTATGATGATGAATCAATTTTATAACTATTAAGATGTTATTTTGCCATAAACTAAATATTTTAATTTTTCTTTATAAACTAAATTTTTCTCATTTTAATATTCATCACTGATGAGTTCAGTTTTTGAGTATAAAATGTTAAATAAATAAGTGAATTTTCCATTGGAATTGTATGGGTGTAAATAAAAATATATTTTTTTTATTTGATCTAACAACCTGGTATTTTTAAAATTATAACATTGCATTAACAAACACACCATCTTACCTTTAAAATCATTAGCATGGCAAAGTATTATTTTGGTGCAGTAAAACTAAAAATCTTTGTTGTCGTTTTATACTAATGTATTTCACTTATTTGTACTATGATTTTTACATCATCATGCTCTTACTTAAATTTTGAATACTGTATTTATCTTTAAACTGGTAAATTTTAGTTGACTATCACATATATATTATGTAAACAATAGCCAAATGTCTTATTGTACACAGAAAAGTTCTATATTTTAAGTCTATCATTGATTAAATATACTGTATATTTAATCAATGAGTCTATCCTAATATCTTGGCCAAAAATTTTTGGACACTTAATAGTTTCAAAAAATTAGTTCCATTTTCATGACAATTTAAAATATGTGAAGAAAATTACAATAGCAGTAATAGAGTATTATACGTCAAAGATGCATCAGCTTTTCCAGTAATTAAGTATAGGTACTTATATGTAAATGTAAATACTAAAAAGGTTTTTTTATTCAATAAAAGAAGATACTTTGTTATTTAGATAAAACTAAACATTTTATTTATGTAACTATAAGAGTAATAATTAATACCACATTTAAGTATTTTATAAATGAAAAGATAAATCAAAAATTTTAATTGATTATTATAATCTTCAGTTAAAAGTATACAAAAATAATATTTAATAAACTGTGTATAGAAAATATTTACATAATTAGTAATATATTTACTAATAAACCAATGGAATGTAAAAAATTGAATATAAATTGTTAAATAAAAAYATAAGTTTAATACAAATCTCTTAAATACAATAGTATGAAGAATGATGATATTTAGATGCTGCATTCTGACGCATGTGCCTGTAAAACAAAATAATAATAATAATAATTAACTATTATTTTTAAAAAGTATAAAAATAGTTATTTTGATTTTGTCATCTAAACGTTAATTAATACATTAAGTGCTTAGACGATTTCATCTGATAAGAGTTTAAATTTTAAACTTTAATTGTTTGCAACAGAGATAACAAATCTTTAAATAACAAGATATTTTTAGACTAGTGTGACCTTCTGAGATATCACAATTAATAACCACAAATGAAAAAAAAATATTATTTACCTCAATATCTGGCGTAGGATACAACACAAAGCATAAAGGACATTGGGATTGCGACATATTCTTGTTTGTAATTTCGTTTTCAGGATTTTGATGTGAGTGTGATGCTCGAGATCTTAATTGATGGCCATTATTACTAATACTATTTATAATATTTTTCGTTTGTTTTTTTCGAAGTTCCTAGAAATTAAAAATAAATAATTATTTATACTTTATTACTGTTAAAATATACCTATTCTATAGACAAACATGATTATATAATATGCATTATGAGGAATAATAAAATCATTTGGATGACAGTAAATCTAAATTTCTTATTTCTAAAGTAATTATGAATATTGGGTTTAAAATCAATATATAGGAATGTTCTATTTAAAGAATATATTAAGTTATTAAAACATCTACTAATTATAAAATAGATATTAATAAGAAGCTAGCACACTATTTGTTTTTTCTCTCTGACCCACATGTGACATAGCCAAAACACATTTATGTAGAATTATTTTTTCTACATTTTTAAATTTTAAGTAATCTTAGGGTAAAATCTTTTTGAAGGAACGATATATCAATTTGTCTTAATATTGTCTCAAAGCAATTTAAACATTTCAATCATTTAAATTTACAACAATTTTTTGATTATTTTGAAAGTCAAATACAAAATCAATTAACTATAAAATATAATATTGATATGTAATTCCCTCAAAAATAGTATTCTTTATCTTTTTTGTAATGGGTGATTTTACTCTAAGATCAGTAGTTAAGAACATAACAAAAAATTATTCTGTGTAAATATGTTTTGTCTATGTTGCATGTGGGTCAGAGAGAAAAAACAAATAATGCACTGACATCATCTTAATGAAGAATGCAATTATCAAAAAATAATAAAAACAAGCATTATTTAAAAAAATAATTCATGAAATAAAATTTGCTAATTGTCTAGTTGGCCTCCRTCACTCAGATTGGAAACACCCACTCAATCCTTAAATGAGATAACATTACATAATTATAAGGACTAATATTCTAAGCAGCGATTTAATACACATTGCTACATATTCAATATTATATTTTCTAAAAAAGAAACAAAAAAACAATATGTCTTTAGGAAATATAATACTCGTTTGAATCACACCAGTTCACCATAAAAATAATTACCTAATTTGTTTGCAATTAATTTAAATAATATAAAAATATAAAAATTCTATCATGATTTCCACCTACTAATAATAATAATAATGAACATGGACGATTGTAAATAAAATGCAAACGTTTAGTGGCGTTTCAAATGTGAAGGGGAGGCAAACTTGACCAGTAACTAAAATTTTGTTTAAACACTAGGTATTATATTATTTATAAACGGCTATTTCTTACTTCGTCTTGCTTTATATGTCCATCACTCAATACTTCACTTTCAAACTGGTTAAAATATTCATTTGAGCAATTCTGATCTGTATGTGTAGAAGAAGGTACTAAAGTCTGATTATCTGACAGGGAAACTTTACTAAACTTATTTTTTTTTTTTTTACCTTTAGGTTCACTTTTATTTTCTTCTGTTTTCTCTAAAAGATTGCTGTTGTCTGAATAAGATTGTTTAGAATATACTTGAAACTCATCAACATATGTCTTATTAAGTGAATCAAATTTTTTATCATCTATATTTTCATTAGCTTTTAGATTAATATTTTTTAAAATATTTGTCAAGCTATCAGGTGTATTAATCACTCGGTTTTGATGGACATTATTGTTAAGTTTAATATCATTTACTTTTGCATTTATCGGCAATAAACTATCACTAGAGTAAAATAAAGTAGTTTGTGGTACGACTAAATTTATCTTACAGTAACCATTTACCATACTTAAAACTGATGTTAAATATTCATTGTCAGATAGAGATTCATCATCAGACATAATATTGCTATTCAAATTTTTGTTTTTTTGTGACATTGTAGATGAGCTAATTCTAAAAAATAAAAATAAAATCATTAGGTTAAGTATTTATGCAATTAAAACAAGTATTGTTGATATAGACATTATTATAAATAATAAATTCAAAAAAAAATAAATTATTTTACTATAGACTGTAAGTGTATTATTATACTATAGTTGTAATTGGTAATTGTACGTTAAAACATCAACATAAATTATAATAATGTAATAGCCAATAGGTATGTAGTAATCATAAAAAACATAGTTGTCTTTTACTTACAAATAATTGTTACTTGTTAATAGGATAGGTCTGCATCAGCAAAAATGCAAATATCCTGTGTTCATTAAATATTAAAATGGAAATAATAAAACTAATGAATTATTTATCAATGAAAATGAAATTAACAAATTGTAATGTAACAGTAAAGACTGTAGAAGATAACAACTAACAAGTAAAGATAGCTAAAAGAAAATTTTTTTGTTCATTGGAAGCATACTCTTTTATATCTTATCAACATTCCTACAATTATACTGTATCAGTTTTTACTGTTATCATTTACCTATCGTAGCTCACTAGTTCATACCATAGAGTTATATATTTATGTATTATATATTATCCACAATCTACCCTGCTCGTACTAGTGCTCTATTCGTACCATTTAATAAAGTATGAATCATSATGGAAATTAGAAATATAATTTCTATCGTGGTATGAATAGTAGCATGACACTACAAATACACGACAAAATGTAAAATGCTATTGAAATTAAATTATTAATCGATCATTCTTCTTACTTTTACCATGATAGTCGATAGTTTGGAGTCACTTGTACTCAGTTGAACTATAGGTTATAGTTATATATTTAACTATATAAACAATAGGTCTATTAAACTAAGCGGCTAAACACTCAACTATTTTAGTTTGAATACACAGGGTGTAAGTGTGTAACTGAAAGACCTGACAAAATAAAAGAACAATTATGCTAATTAAATTTATAATAAAAATGTTTAATATTATATGATACGTAAATAATTTAAGAAGTATTTTCATGTCAGCAAGTTCTCAAAAACCATATTTTTTTAAAAGTTTTTACGTTTTAAATTTATTTAACCAAACAAATATTCTAAAATATAAACTACTTGACTTAGATAAATCTTTTTATCTTCAAAACTGTTCTTATAATCAGATTCGCAAATAGGCTATTTTGAATTTACCCAAAAAAAATTTTATTTTCATTACTAAACAATAAACATAAAAAAATGTATWATGCATGTAACGTTAGAAGTTACCTATTCTTCTAAAAATCAGTTCTATCTGTTACACCTTGTATAATAGGTATATATTATTTGATATCATATATTACAGGTTTATAGTTAGTACTTGGGGCTTATAAACATATTATAATATATAAATAATATATTATATACATTGTACATAAATAATATTATGTTTATGCTAGCATGTTCATAGATAAAGGAGATGTTTCCTTTATCTATGAGCGCGTTACTTCTTTCATAATCAATATTCAGTTTACATCACGGACATCTTATCAGTTGTCAATATAATAACGGTCAAATGGCGCGGTTTTTTTTGTCTGCAGTTGTTAAGAAAACTCCAGTTTTGAAGATTATCAATTTTGTAACTTTCTTATGAATTATGATGATAACGTTTAAAATCATAATTTCAAAAAATTTCTATGTTTCTGATTTCATCTCTGACTTACCGAATTCCAAGTAATTATGAAAAAATAGTTTTAGGTATTTATTAATGAGTGGATGTGCGTTTTGACGTATTGTTAATAAGTGATTAGTAACTAAGTGTCTATACTTAATAATGAACAAGGGATTACAACGAATAATGTCAACTCCTAAGAACGATAAGAGAACCAAACCAGAAGGTGATTATTTTACACAATTATGTATATATTAATAAGAAACAGGCTTACTTTTTAAAACGGTAGCATATTATTCTATTTATTACCAACACAAACGACCTAAGAGAACGTTACATTGACATTTGTTGTCTCCGTTTTACAAGAGCGCAACATAGAAAATTTACGCTTAGCAGATCACGTGTAGCTTTGTTAGTTTAAAATTAGAGTGAATAGACTTATAATTTATTTGAATATGGGTCTCTTACAATAGTTGAATTTTTAAAAAATGTTGAGTGGATAAATAAGCATTAATTAAAAATGCTCAGATCTCATTTAGAAACTGAATTATCATAAAAAATACAAATTATATTCTGACCATTAAGTTTCATCATAAGTCAATTCACTCTAATTTTTAAGCTTATGAAGTGTGAATTTAATGTATTATGGATTTGTAAGACAGAAACAACAAGTGCGGATGTTACGTCCTCTTATATTATGTTGTTGCTACTTGTTAGAATTATTAGTAATTCATCAGTTAATTTTATTAAGGTGTCTCGGTTAGCTGGTTCTAATTAATCAATATTACTTCAACACAAACTGTAATCCTGTAAGTAATATTTATATAGGGAGTAATACAATGTTTATGTATTGCTGCCCAATATCAAATCCTTTGGCAAAACCACTGTTACCATGTACCCATTATAGTATCTGCTTAGGATTTCTAAGTTAAGGGTGTTATATTCCAAGTTTGTTCCAACATAGCCAAACTATGACAGAACTAGTGGGAGCATGTGCAGTAGAGTTGTTGTTTGCACCAAATCATTATACCAGTTTTTGATGATCAAAACAATCCCATGGATTTAGTAGGGACGCCTGAACACAAACACTGTTATTATGTACACTCCAAAACTAGACCCAAATTCTGTGTTGGAATAAACTTTTTATTGACAAAAATCAAGAGATTTTTATTGTATTCTAATGATCTAAACGATTGGTTGTGTGTAACGTTTTGTAAACAATTTTAAGATTGAGATAATTGAAGCAAACAACATATTATTCTTACATATATATATTCTGTTATGCTGTTCATTGTTATTTGACATTTATTTTGTTCTATGTATAACTTTTAGGCATAGATAAAATCTGTCAAGTATAAAGTTTAAATGGTTTTCGTAAGACCCTGGATTTAAATAAATCCACCTTGTGTTAAACACAATTTCCTGCTAAAGAAAAATTTCATTGACCATAGAGTATGAATTTATCCCCAGATTTCCATATCCATTGGTGTATACAAAAATAAAACATTTACAGCATATAATAGCTACACTGTGCTTCTCCAAGGTTAATTATGTAATATATTTATTTATAAAAACATTTCAGATATGGAAACAATTTCTGATATTGAAATAATACGAAGCCTTTTATATTGTTTTCAAGGAGTTAATAGCCATTGGATAGAATTCAATCAAAATGAAAAACAATTTATAGTTACAGCACAAGTATGTACTGTATGCATTTTTATTTTTGCAAATGTATTCATTTATTTATACTTAAAGTATTTTAAATTTATAGTTAGACTTTTACCAAACCAGCAAAGTGAATCGGCTAATGGAACTTGGATATTTACATAACATAGTGCAAGAGTATATTGAAAACAACAGTGACAACAAAAATGGCTCCGTAGCTTCAGGAATTGCACATTGTTTGCACGAAGAACTATGTATTTATTATGACAGTATTAACAAGTTGCAAAAAGAGGTTGTTAAATTGTACTCTTGTATATAATATATGATATAGGTATGCCATTTATATAAGTATATTTATTTTATTTAATATAGGTTAATGAAGCATATGAAAAATCCAGACAATATTCTCTTGGGAATTTATTGTGTTGGTCTGTACTTTGGCTAGGGCAATTACAAGACTTAGCATACACAGTAAAAATGATTGATGGTGCTAAACGTGGTGGTGAACTAGTATCTGTGATTGCTCCATTCGCATACTGTGCAAATCCCTATTTACAACAAATGGCTACAAATATGATTAAAGTTGTAAGTGATGTTAACTTGTCATAGCCATGATATTATGTAAAATATATAGGCTTATCTAAACAATTTCAGGCAACTAGACCATTAATGATGATTATGTGCCATTGGATGGTTGATGGGGAACTTTTAGATAATTATGAAGAGTTTTTTATCTGTCAATGTCCGGACATTAATAATTTTGATATGTGGAACAATCGATACACAATTCGGTTAATATTTATTTTGTTATGATCATAAATGTACTTAACTAATTAAATATATATTATTATTTATGTATGTGATTTTTGTTTTAGGGAGTCTATGGTCCCATCATTTTTTACAAAAGAAGATGTAAATAGAACTTTTCGTACTGGAAGGTATATAAATTTTCTGCATACAATATGCAAGAGTAAACCTAATTTAACGCCATCTAGGAAAACTCTTATGGATCTTAGAAATTCTGGGGGTAAGTAAATCTAAGAAATAATTTGTATAATATTATATTTTTAAACCCTYTGCGGCATGCGCCTTGGGTGGGTATACATTTAATTTTATTACGTTAAAGTTTATTAACTAAGAACTTTGAATTTTGTTTAGATAAAGATTTGTTTCCAATGTTAGAACAAGGTAGCATCATTTCTGATATGATTAACAAGGCTTGTACTGAATCTTCTACTGTAGTACTGGATACTTTAAAAGAACAGTTTCAGTTATTTTTACACTTTGAGGGACTTAGACGTTACATGCTCTTAGGACAAGGAGACTTTGTTACGAGCTTACTAGAAATTCTTCAGTGAGTTACAATGATATGAATTTCTAATATTCCTAAGGTTCTGATTTTTATTAATCTATAATAGGCCTCATTTAGATAAATCTTCAGGTACACTTGGTCATCATACCTTTAGAAATTTTTTGGACACTGCTATAAGAATGAGCAATGCTCAGTATGATAAGCCTACAATACTAAAAACGCTTGATGTAAAGTTATTACTCACATCTGGAGAAGATTGTGGATGGGATATATTTCAATTGGATTATTCAACTGGTGGTCCGTTGGAAACGGTATGTATCATAAACTATGATTAATAAATAATAATTATATAAAAATACGAAAGTGAATTTCAAATAACACAATTATAAATTCAATATATTTTTCAACGCTGGGATAAGATAAGTAATGATAAAATGTGCCAATCTAATAATATATTGTGGTCTGGAGTGACCAGTTAGTTAACTAAATAAATACAATTGAAGATTTTTCAAAGTAATTGAATTATAAAAATCTAAATTTGTTCATTGTTATATCACATTTTTATTTATTTTTTTGTCTGTCCTCACGTTTTGGGACAGTAAAAGTTCTTCGATTTTCGACTTCAGTACCTCGTTCGATCAGAAAGTGAATCTAGTTGATACTCTGGGGGATCAAAAAAATTCTTTATATTTTTCTAAATAATCGGAATTAACAAACTAAAAATTAAGGGGACGAATTATTTTTGACAAAATCGATTTTGGTTTTTGATGTAACTTTAAAACAAATGACCATAGATACATGAAATTTTCACCGAATGTTTATATAAGTATATTCTATCCAACATGCAATTTTCAAAAAATCGACTTAAGTTGAACTGTTCATAGGTATTTGAAATTTTCAATCATTATTAGTTTTTTATTAAA